AAGAATATTTATATTGAAAAATTGGCAGCAGAAGTTTTTACGTACAAACAAAAAATTATGTTGCAGCGGAAATAAAAAATTATGTTGCAGCGGAAATAGCTAAGTGTTTTAATAACGACGACATTAATTATTATTAATTCTCACTTAAGAGAGTGGTCTTGTCTCACTTGATCGCGATGTCAGCTCATGTCTTTGGATCGTTCCTTATGTGGGGGAGGTTTAACAATAGAAAAATGTCAGACACGGTTTTCTTCCTAACTACCTGCTCATGTAGGACTTGACAAACAAACTCCAAAAAATTCTTGGATGCGCTACAATTGCTTACATTCCCCTTTTGAATGTAGGTGAGACGAGACAAAAATTCTTAGTGAGCGGATGATTGTGTGGGTTGAGCTTTCAAGAAGACTTTGATGTGTGTTTTGAAACAATATCAATTCTTATATCATTCATGATGTGTTGTAAAATCATTGAAAATTTGAAATTACTAATAAACTTAATAGACCTCTTAAAAGTAATGTATACCAATGAAATAAAAAATGATTTCCATTTCCGTGAATAGAAATTAACTCAATAATTTATTTTTTTTCAAACGAGTTTTGACATATTCCTAAACTCTTCCTTATAAATTCCAATAGTATAGGCCTTAGACTTAAGGTGAGTCAAAGATCCGGTATTGAACCAAAGCTCCAATATGGATCATGAAGTCCCAAGCAGCCAACCATATATTTGATCTAGGTTGGACATCTACATAGCTATGGGCTTATCCAGAAATGTCATAACTGTTGTTATACCCAAATTCGATGATCCAGTAAACTTGGAACACTCCATCAATTAGGGGAATAGGAAACAAGGGTAGCTTTTCCTGTTAGATATGCTGTAAAAGCTTGACTTTCAGATATGAACAATACCATTTTGATCTGGCAATCATGTTTTAGTCAAAGTACATATGCTTGCAGTTTATTTATTTATGCAATCGTACTCCTTGTTTTACATTGAGATAGTGTGGTTCGTGGTGTCTCGAATAGAAAGGTCACCTATCGGTTCCTTATAAGACTAAACTATTCGTTCAGAGTCTAGAGAGGCGGTGAGGCCCCTCTTAGAAAGGTCATCTATGTGGGACATAGTGACCGTAAATAATTTATAACAGCACACCATATAAATACCCTTATTCAGTTGATCTTTGATTGGAGAACTACACTACTTATGTTACGTATTGAACAGGACCACGGAAGGATAAGATTATGAGACTCACTGATCGTTGTTGTAATCTAGACCTTCAGTTATTGATGCGTTCTTTAAAGCTGTAAGATAATATAAAACGGGCATGTATATTTATTACTTGTTTATTTGATTTACCAAGGGTGATTCATATTCTGTTAGGATGACATACTTGGTACTTTGGTAAATAAGGATATTTATATGGTGTGCTATTATAAATTATTTACGGTCACTATGTCCTAGTGCGCTGGGTTGATGACGTCCCCGAAATGAGCTCAAGAAGGAATATTATGTTAAACCTTGCAGGTGGATGATTATCTGACATAATGATTAACGATCTGAGTGGTACTAATTTGGTAAATGAATAAGAAGTTGATTAATTATTTTGTCAGTAATTTAATTAATCGACAAACGTTATATCTTAAACATAGAGAGGTAAGTCGGTCAATTAGATTAATATTTATTAATCAAGTGGAGGTTTGATTTAATTGATTAAATTGGAGCTAAATGAGGAGAACAATAATATTACTTTAGTGGGATGTATTATTATTTAATTTGAATTAGAATTTTAGGATTTAATTTTATTCCATAAATAATGTTCTATTAGGAAAAGAATATTCCCTTCTAGAATATTACCTAGGGTTAGGAGACTAAAGAGTCTTCTAGAAGGTGATGTTTGGTAGAAGGAGTTTTATCCTAGTCTGGAAAGATATGTGGAATAGGATTAGGATTCCTTTTCCTGATAGGATAAGCCCATATTTAGCACCTCCTGAAGGTCCCTAATGGAGCCTATAAATACACCATGTCCCAACCTCTTGGAACATACTGGTGAGGGCCGATTTTTCCTTCTTCCTAAGAGAGAAAGATTGTCTTGTTCGAGTGTTTGGGAGATTCAATTAATCGCACCACCAAGATTAATTGACGTAGGTGTTTAGGTAATTCATTAGAAGATTTTAAGGTGATATTTATCAAACCTTAAAAATCCGTATTTTCCGGTAATCTCTCGCCGACCGCTGCCGACCGCCTCCGCCAGGAACTGCCGAAAATCGCTGCCGCCGCCTGACATCGCCGGGACCCACCCCGAGCCCAGCCGCACGTAGCCGCGAGCACAGGCCCGCAACCGCACGCAGCCGAGCCACACACGAAGGTCCCATCGACGGCCAGCTCCTCCGCGCATCACGTGCACGCCAATCCCGTTTGCCCCTGCTCGTGATCTGCGACCCGACGATCCCGATCCTAGCGGTCGTGTTCCACGCGCCCCACTTCTCCGCACTCGACCAGGACTCCTCGCACACCCAAGAAACATGCCGAGCACATACCGCATGAGCACAGATGCCCAGCGCCCAGTCCGCCCAAGCTTAGGACTGATGTCCCGCACGTGCCCGAGCAGGCCGCGCCAGCCAGCGTTTGCACCGCCTGTCCGCGCGTCCCGACCACACGAAGCGCACCCAGTCCCGATCAGCGCCAACCCACGGCCAAGCCGCTGTACCCGACCAACCAGAGACGTGAACCGAACCTTGCCCAATCGGCCCGAGCCCGACTAGTTCGATTCAGTGATCCGTTCGTGATTCAACACTCGATCAGAATCGAGAAAGGCCAAACCCTTCAGCCTATTGGGTTGTGGTAATCAGACGATCTCCATCAACGGAAATCAGAAACGTCTCTGAGTTGGCAAAATTTTAAAAGGTAATGTCCTAATCCTAACTATAGATTTCGCTGCGTTCGGATTAATTTCGATAAGTTCAATATTATGCATGTCGTTGACGTTCCTAATAGAACCCAACATTTTCGAGAACCACAACCAAGATGCACGATTTTAGGCTGGTCTGACCGTCCAAAAGTTAAACTCACAAATCAGATGACCTGGCCCAAACGATTTTAGTTTCAGAGGTCGATAACTGACACGGTAATACAATCAGTAAAGTGAATTGATGATAAGAAGGAAGTTCACATGTTCACACCATATCTAATCAATATTATCAGTAATATCATCTCATCACTCGGTGAACAATGAGAACCATGTTTTTCTAAAAGTCTTAAATTTATGTCCATGATGGTTGGTATTAAGTTGAAGTGTGGATGTGTGGATGAACACACTTGTTGTTCAAGTACCACAATTGATTATTGTAATTTCGGTTATTTCAAAATACTTGTCTAGGATAATTAATTGAAACGTTATTTTGTTAAATCCCAAAATTATTATCCAGATTTCTAAAATATTTAAATGTATTCTTAATGTTATCTTCATGAACATTATTACTGAATAATTGTGATATAGCCATATATGAGGAACCGAAAAATAACCCCACAAGTAAGAGTATGTCGAGGAGAGACCTAAGGACCGCGGGTAGGACGAGGAGAGACCTAAAGAGTGAGAGTAGGTCGAGATCTTAATAAGGACGACCTATGGAAGATGAGACTACTCAAAGCTTTCTCAATGAAGGTAGTCGCGGCCTATATAGTCCATAACATATCATGGTCATGAGATCTATTCCTAGGTCTCGAGCATGATAACTTATGAGTCAAGGCGACTTCATGTGTCATTACGTTGACAGAGTGGCTTGTGAGTAGATGAACGTGGCAACTACATTTAGATGATGAACTATCTAACTCACCTAATGAACATATAAGAAGAAATCTTAATAGGATAAGAGGAAATTTAATAATGAATCAGGTATGATTAGGACGAAGATAATAATAAATCCCAGGCAACCGAGCAGGTTGAACGCCGACAACTCGGGCAAAAAAATTCGGGTGGGTATCACCCTATTAAAAGAGGAGTGAGGTACAACCACAAATCCTCTTCTACATTTTATGCATCCTATGCATCTAATTCTCTAGATTATAAGGCTTTATTTTCTGCTCTGTGTTGACTTAAGCATCAGAGGCTCTACGCCGGAATCCCCTCCAGTGATGAGTTTTTGCAGGGTTACGAGTGACGTTTTAGGCGGACCAGAGTTGTTCTCAACGGGTTCTATCTAGACCTAGGTAGCGACCCATTATTTGGCAATCTCTGTATGGAAGATTTTGAAAGAACTAACAGCTTTGCACCAGATTCTAATCACCTACGTAGTGCAGAGGAACTTGAATGAGGACCTAAGAGAGGCTTGAACAAATAAATGTCCTCTACAAGTTCCCAAGTTAGGACTGCTACCGTTGAGTACTCAGACACTGGCATTCGACCTCTGGACAAAGGAGCTACCTTCACCCTTGGTGGGGAACAATAAGTTATTTGCTGCAACGCGAACCGATACCTCACTAATGACACTAGGTGAGGGGTAGGGATGCCAGGAGGAGACAACATGTAAGAGCAAGCAGGTTGAAATAGGACAAAGAAGTGGAGGTGACAAGAAGTTAGAAAAGTATTTTCGAAAAATTTAAAATGAGTTTTCGACAATTAAATAAGTGTTTTCAAATTAAATATCACGAACAAATTATTCTGATTTTATTAATACTAGGCGGGGTGTTACAAAAGTAATTTGTAACGGTCCATTAATAAGTTGTGTTTATGTTCTGGAAACAATGTTTCCCGCAGTGCAACATAGGCAATTACTTATTTCATCAACTAATCATAATAAGAGAAAGAACCTTCAAGAATGAACGAAACATACCTATGGAATCTTAGGCTTGGTCATATTAACCTAAGGAGGATACAAAGGTTGGGGGTAGACAGGCTCTTGGGGACGTTAAAAGTCGAAGTCTTCCCAACCTGCAAGTCCTGCCTAGAAGGTAAGATGACCAAGAGGCCTTGTAAACCCAAGGGGCATAGAGCCAATGATTTGTTAAAACTCTAAAACTCGTTCACTCTGACGTGTGTGGTCCTATGTCACTCCAAGAGAGAGGGTCTTTCGAGTGCTTCGTTACTTTGATCGACGATTACTCGAGATATGGGTACGTCTACCTATTGCGTCACAAGTCCGAATGCTTCGAGAAGCTCTTGGAGTATAAGGCAGTTGCAGAGAAGCAATTTGGTAAAAGTATCAAGTCACGGCAATCAGATTGCGGTTGCAAATACCTTTAATGGGAGTTTAGGAACTACTTGTTGGAGAATGGTATTTAGTCCCAACTGAGTGCGTCGGGTTAGCCCCGAGAGAACGGTGTAGCAAAGCAAAGGAATATGACTCTTATGGAAATTCTTAAAGAAATAATGAGTTATAGATACTTACCTGATTTGTTTTGTGGATACGTACTACGCGCTATGTGGATACAAGAGGATCTTCGTAATTGTGCAAGTCGAAAATTAATCTACGAATAAACGTATGCATAACGGATCTAAAGTTTAACGTAGAAAATTTACGGCTAAAAAATTAAAGACTCTGAGACGTAGATTTTCGTTCATGGAGATCGTCTGATTTTCAAGTCATCGGAAATCTCCTCGTTGGATGTCTTCGAGTCATTGGCTGCGTCGTGCAGGTCAACTGAAGTTGCCTCGGGCCGCATAGGTTGTGCGGGTGGCGTGGTGCGGCTGCTGGGACTGCAGCAGGTCATACGCAGTCGACGCAGGTCGCTAGACGGGAGCAAGTCGTGCTGGGCTCGTCAGGTCGCATCAGGCCATGCACGGTGGTCAACAATGGTCGGGTGCTTGGCTGGTGGTGGTTGGATGCTCGACTACCTTATGATCTTCTATGTCCTAACACCTCTAGAGCACCCTTGGTGGTAAGGAGACTCTAGATCACTCTCAAGTCTGAATTGTATGGATGTCTTCCAAACATAAGATAGGTGGTGTATATATAGGCTTAAATAAAAACCCTACGGAGGCATTAAATTTAGGGTCCCCGTGTAAGGGCCTCTGCTCATATACGAATAATACAGTCATTCCACCAAAAGTAGTATTACTGAAAAATCCCAATTTAGATCCCAAAATACAATTTGAGCTCCGATTCTAAATCACTCGAATTACCTCCCCATGTTTAAGATATAATGTCCATCAATGGGTTCGATTATTGACAATAAAATCAATTTATATTTTGTGCCGAAGCTAGCACCAGTCAATAGATTATTATTATGTCGAAACTTAATTCACCTACTGGGTTTAACATAATAATCCTTGTGATCTAACTTCGGGGACATCATCAAACCTCTACTATCTGAAGACTTGCATTGAAGACTTCATTGGGAAGAAAATGATCATATTTTCATCCATTTCATGAATCCTAATTAAAGTGTCCATATTTTTGTGCATTTTTAGACTTTTTTAGACCAAAATATCTCTTGAGTTGTCTTAGAAGTTAAAGGATCATTCCAACTTCATTTAAGCTTATTAATATGGTCAAATATGTCTCTTTAGTGCTTCATGAGTCTCAAAAACGGGATTAACTCATCAGTACCATTTGTAACCTTTAAATAGATCATCTATACTTGTGTTCTTATGAAAGATAAGAACATTATTGAATTTTATAAATCACTTTTTTATTATATTAAATTCGCTTTTGTAAAGATTCCATTGTTTAAGAAATTATCAAGATGCTTGAGCAAGATCTTGTAATGTTATACCGCGGTTCTTAGCTGATTATATAGCTAACAGGTCGAGATTTTCAAGCTCTACGTACGATCAAACTAGATCTTGGATCTGGGATTCCGCTGCCTAAATATATGTTTGCTTCTTAGATCAATATATCCAGTGGGTCTTATGTGCTATCTGTATCAGATTGGTGATTGTGTGTGTGCGAGAGAGAGCAAGAGAGAGAGAGAGAGAGAGAGAGAGAGAGATGGGGTGGTGCCCACTAGGTGTGTGTTTTTAGTTAATGTCCAATTTACATTTAATTAGTGATCAAATGTACATATTTGAGCACAATATGTCCATGATTCATATATTTTGTGTCTAAATATACTATACATAAAAGGGATTTAACTATATAAAAATATATAGTATATCTAGACACAAAATTCTTTTCCACACACACATATATCTATATATATATATATATTAATATATAAGTAAACTCATATTAGGATGAGACATAATGAAAGAAAAAAGAATGCTTTTATACCATTTGATCCATCAAGTAAACAGTCACGATCAAGTCAAATTTTAGTATATGGCAATCAAACATGCGATAAAAATATGTGGAAAAAAATAAAACAAAAAAAAAGGGTGTGGACAAATTTAAAACGTGCGGATTCTGAAAATCCGTGTTTGATTAATTTCGACTGAAACACGGATTTTCAGAATCCGCGTTTGATTTATTTTGACTAGAACACGGATTATGAAAATCCGTGTTTGCTTAATGACGTGATTACTCTTAATTAATTCATGTAAAAACGTGTTTTGCAAAGCCGTGTTAGGTAAAACGGATTCTCATAATCCGTGTTTAACGATAACACGGATTTTGAAAATCCGTGTTTATATATTTATTTATTTATTTTTTTATATACACGGATTTTAAGAATCCGTGTTTGTTGTATTTATTTATTTA